CAAAGGGAAGGAAATGGTTTTATGTTCTTGGAGCTAACTGGGGTGAAAAAATCCCCAAAAAACAATCACTTAAAGTCCTGGCAGAGAAAGAAAAAAAAACAAGGAAGCAAAATTTTTGGGGGGGTAAAAAATTTCTAACGAAACAAAGATCATCAATTATCCAAGATTTTGGGGAAAATTTTTGTTGGGATGGTTTAAGAGAAAGAATTTGCAGGAGATAGATTGTGGAGTTGTCATTTTGTGAAAAGGAAGGGAGAAGCATGCAAATCTCAAAGAAAAATGCCTGGAACAAGGGCTTTTGTTAGTGAATTTAAGGCCCGCCGAGGGAAAAGAAATGTTTCTTTCTTCAGTGATTTAAAGGGCAAATTTTTCAAAAATGGAGGGGGTCGAAGTTTTGTGGGGGGAAAAAAATCACCTGACCAAGCTGAAAGAAGCCAAAATCTGCAACATTTTCAGTTTCCAACACCTTGTTCCACTTCAGGCAAATTTAGGATGCCCGAAACAAAACCTCTCTGGAAAAGTTTTTCTTTTACAACAAGGGTGCAAGACTCAAGTTTTTTCTAGTGCCGTTAAAAAACCCAAAATGAAGTAACCCCAGAGAGGGGCTTTATACCTGAAAGCCTTTTGGAAGGGGGGTTTCCCTTTTCCCAAAAAATTTAAAATCCTCCTCTCCCTTTCTCTCCTTCAATATTCCCAAAAAAGATTTTTCAATAAAGGAAAAATTTTTCATTTAAACATAAAATTTTTTGCTTTATAAATATTTTTCCCCCTGTTTTTCGTATGTAAAAAATATAGGTATTCTTTTAAAACCCTTTTTACTGTCGCCAAGTTTTCCCCTTTTTGAAAAATGTCATTCTATTTGCAAAATTTTTTTTAAATTTTTTTTTTTTTTTATGAAATGATAATCTTTTTCCCCCATGTTAATGACCCAAAACTTAAATTTTTGGGCAAAAAAACCCCGGAATTCGATCTTGTGGGAAATTAGCATTCGGCGACATATAAGGTTTTGGCAATTTCGCCCCAATTTTAGCCCTGTTTTTTGGGGCCCCCTTCCCTTGTTTTTCCCCCTTTACCAAACACATAGCTATTTCTTTAGAACTTCATTTTTTCAAACAACTGAGTACAAAAAACTGCCCTTTACCCATTTTTAACTACCCAAAAAAGTGGTCAGAAACTTTGGGAATTTGGCCAATTTCACGGGAAATTTTAAAAAAGATGCCAATTTTAAAAAAGGGCCAGACTAAAAAAATGTAGACATTCTTTGGGACTAAAATAACTTTTCCTCTGTTTATTAGTCCGTCTCCAGGCCCCCCTTTATTAAATATTGCTTTTATTTTGATTTTTTTTTTCATACAAAAAATACAAAATTTACTGTTATGGGAACCCCCTGCATTACTGTAAAAAAAAGGTTTTAAAAAATAGTCACTAGGGGAAAAAATTTTAGAATCCCCAGTTTTACTTTTACTGGACGTGTTTATTTTGGGTTTTCTTTTCCTTGAAAATTGGGGAAAAACAACAATTTTCCCCTACTTTGAAACTCAATTTTAAAAGGCGTTTTTATCGTGAAACTAATCAAAAAACAAAAATTTTTGCAAAATGTTTTCCATTTTATCATGCGAGGACCCCTGAAAATGAAAATACAACGTAAATACTTACGAAAAAATTTCACCCAAAATTTTGGGTTTTTTAAACCAAAAAGGCCCCGTCAGGTTTTTTTTTTTTTATTATGCACTGCATTTTCTGAGGATTTTTTTTTTTTTGGGGGTCACCCCTGACCCCCACAGACCCTTCTCTAAAAATGTGGGCCCCAGCTTTTTCCTGCTTGATTTTAAGCCCCTAGAATTATCGAGTACAATACGTTTCCGGGAAAAACTGGGTTTTTAAAACACAGTAGGACCCCCCTTTACGGCGTTTCCTTTATGGCGTTCCGCTAATACGGCCCTTTCAAAATTTTGGGCCAAAAAATCGCTTTACGGGGTCCCCTTTACCCGGAAATTTCTAATACGGTTTACCCTGCCCCCCCCCGTTTGTTTTTCATTTTTCCCGTTTAGCTAAAAAAGCACTAAAAATCCTCTCCATTTTATCTGGAAACTCCAAAATTTCAAGCGTTTTTAAAAGTTATTTCATATTTTATATATACTCTGATAATTATACTTATGTATACCTGTACCTAAATAAACTTACATACTGTGCTGGCGTGCAGGAACACATTAAAATCAGTAAGTGTGTCTTATGTCTCCAGACGTCATATTAGTAATGATAATAATAATCATCGAGTCTCATTTATATGTTGTATATTACGTTAATATACACATTTTCATTAATCCATCAAAGATATTTTTTCAAAATTATATAATAAACACGATGCATAACATAAATAAGATAAATACACCCCACAGTAGAATAAATAAACATAAATGTGAGATGTGGTAGCAGACGACTTGCACAAGTGACGCCATATTAGAAATAATAATAATAATAATTAATAATAATAGTAATCACCGAGTCTCATTAAATGTCGTATATTACGTTAATATACACATTTTCATTAATCCATCCATGATATTTTTTCAAAATTATATAATAAACACGATACATAACATAAAAAGATGATAAATACACCCCACAATATAATAAATAAACAAATATGAGATGTGGTAGCCAGATAACTTGTACAAGTGACGGCAAGAATAACATTTTCTCTAATCTAACACAAGAGAAAATGTGTTACTGGGGGTAACTGTAGAAAATTATTCCTTTCGTATGTATGTAAGTAAGTTTATTCAGGTATACACAAATACAGTTACATAGAGTATCATACATAACATGTGTAGAGAACCTAGGATAACCCAAAAAAGTCAGAGTGACTTATTTCCATTGCCTTCACTCAGAGCATCATTTCTTCTCAAAATGATGCTACATGATAATGGGAATGTTCTTCTTTATTTATTCTACCGTATCAATGTAGAGACAACCTGTACACAAAGTAACTTGTACACAAACCAGACGTGTACACTTCGTTTACAAAACTTACGTTCGCCTGGTTTGTTTACATAACTCTGCGCCTGTCCTCTCTCATGCACTCATTCTTTCTCTCTCTCATTTATTCGTTTTATCTCATTTACTTACTCCTGACCCTACATTAAGACAACAAATATTTTAAGGTAAGTAATGAGTGAACTGTATATACATTTTATCGCTCTGGGATGCTTAAATATCATAGAATAGTAAGTGTGGGTGGGGTGGCCTGGTATGGTAGCCCGGCTGACTACCATACATACCACACTTGATTTCTTACAATAAATGCTACTTGTCTCACCCTAGATTAAGACTATAAATATTTTAAGGTAAGTAATGAGTGCACTATGTGTGTATTGTACTTTTTTATTGTTTTTTGATGCCTGGTTCTATTGCTAACTTAATATATGTTAGTGTAAACTTGTTATCTAGTGTTTGTATGCATTTATAAGGAAAGAAAAGGGTGTTCCACTTTACGGCGGTTTCCGCTTTATGGCGGTAGCCTGGAACCTAACCAGCCGTTTAAGTGGGGCCCTACTGTACATGTATATATATGACCAAAGCAGTCAGAGAGTTAAAAAATGTATTTTTTATTAATATTTTTGAGTGTCTGGAACAGATTAATTGTATTTACATTAATTCTTATGGGAAATGTGACTTTGGTTTTCGGCCTTTTCTGATTTAGGTTGACCTTCTGGAAAGGATTATGGCTGAAATCCAGGTTCCACTGTACTGTACTTATTGTGTCATTTACTTTATGTACTTGATAAAGCTCACTCAAGGGTGAAACATTTTACTAATAAAGACTGCATTGTTTATCACTTGTGAGCATTACACTTTAATGTTGTATAGAAGTGGAGATGACTGGTGATAGTCATTACTTTTATGTAGTATACAAGGGACATTGGCTGTTTGGAGTGACATCTAAACTGTCATATTTGGGCACCTCTGTGAAGACTGATTATGTGTGAATGATGGTGAATGTTTCTTTTTTGGGTCACCGTGCTTCAGTGGAAGACGGCCAGCATGTTAAAAAAAAAAAAAAAAAAAAAGGGTATATGACTGGTGGCATTCATCACCTTTATGTAGCATACAAGGGAAGATGACTGGTGTAGAGGCTTTGCCTTTTCTTGCTACTGCTGAGTACAGTACTACTAACACATGGCATCCCACCTCATTAACACTAATTCCTAAAACACATTTACCAATTTGGTCCATAAAAATTAACTCAAAAAATAGTTTTAAAACACTGAATTGACAGCATCTGCGACCATGTCACATAATCCTTTATACTAGCATTTTCTTGAGGAAAATAATTTGCAAGCTGCAAATACGTTGGGAGATCTGTTACCATAAAGTAAAAACAGCCACAAAATATTATCTAATATGGATTCACAGTTATAACTGCTCATGTGACAAGAAATTGCAGCTATTGTAAAGATGAGAGCAATTGAGTGGAGCAACAGAAGAGTGCAGCAGCAGCAAGAGGAACACAGCAACAATTATATTAGTAGAATTATATTCACAGTAAGCACTAAACCTGTCAGGATTATACAGCACCTGGGAAATAGGACACATTAAGAAATGATCTAAAGGGGGGTAGTTTAACTCCTTAGATCAAGAGCCCTTCATTATCAGGGCCTCTCCCTCAATGGAATAGTAAGAGTAAACAGTAAGGGAACAGTAAGAATACAAAAACAATATAATCCCACAAGTTGTCAACTGAAGAACTAAAAATACATTTCAGAAAATCTATATACAGTGGTACACAGAGTTTCAGCCATAATTTCTTCCAGAAGGCTGTTCGAGTAGTGTTACTGAACCAATTTGTTCCCATAAGGAATAATGTAAATTACATTAGTCCATTTCAGACCCCCAAAAATACACTTACAAAAGCACTTACAATAATACACTTGCATAATTGTTCAAGGTGGGAACTGTACCAAACTCAGGGTACCATTATTTCATAATAAAAAGCAGCAAACTGTTAAAGTGAAATTTATAAAATGAAAAGCTGCCAGTTACAGCTGTTAAAATACAATACAAATATATAAATACATATACATACACACACACATGTACATATACATTATATACATACACACACACATTACACACGTGTGCGCACACACACACACACACACACACACAAAGTGAAATAGTTTGGGAAGCAATGTAGTGGAGGCAAGATCCATACACAGCTTTAAGCAGAGGTATGATAAAGCTCACGGTTCAGGGAGAGTGACCTAGTAGCGACCAGTGAAGAGGCAGGGCCAGGAGCTTGGACTCGACCCCTGCAGCCTCAACTAAGCGAGTACACAGTGTAACTTATATTTAACTACTAGAATAGCCAATTTACTAAGAAAAGCATTTGTCTAATTTCAGTGCCAACTTTGTTGCAAGAAGTTGGCATTTTTTGTCTTTATCCTCTTTTAGGGTTATTGCCAACCACTGGCGCAGTTCAAGCAGGTCTCCTGGAACTAGTGACAACAATACAGCATCAGGCACACATGCCAAACCTGCACTAAGAGCTTCTAAACAAGCAGCACGAACTTGAGAGTCACTATGTGTGCGTAAGAACCAAGTTAATTCCAAAAGACACTCAGCCATTTTCAATGTTATTTCACACTGTCCAGTAATCTCAACAATCAGACCAAGAGTCCTCAAAAGATTACATAGGAGAGCACGATCTGTGTCTAATAAATCAAGATATGGCTGTGACTCAGTAATGCCATGGATAAGAGGAAAGAAAAAAAATCCAGCAACATTTTTCATTACATTCTTTTTCAAGGTTTCATGTAAATTTTTATTAGTAGATGGAACAGTATCATTTCTAGTTGATAAAATACACTGATCTGCTCCTGAGAGTTCAACTGCAGCTCTACTTAGAGTATGTAATATATCCATTCTTTTCCTAACACTATAGTTTCTTTTATAAAATTCACCACCAAGGTATAGTGCACACTTGCTAGGATGCGAGATCGTCAATGCAAGAAGAGTTTTCAAACGGCTTTCCTCAAACCCCTCAGTGTTATAATTATCTTCTAAACAGAGGACAACCTTCGTCATCTCCACAATTAGTTCAGAATCCACTCTTGCTGATTCCTGACGTACAATTTTCTCGGATACCTTCAGAGCTGCTTCAACCATGTCTGCTTCACCTTCAATTAAATATTCTAGAACTTCTTGAGGATATGATGGTGACTTAACTTTGGTTTTAGGTGTATCATCTGACATGTCATATGGTTGAAATTCATCATCACTATCCAATCCTTCAACATTGTCAAATGACCCTGGGTACTGTTCACCAACACTTTTGATTATTTCACCTGTTGGAAAATTATTTTCCTTATCTTTACTTTCCATTTCAGAAGTGTCCTCATTTTCTTTGGATCTACTAAATGATCTCTTAGATGTACTCAAATTTTGTAATTCCATCCTCAAGTCCTCAAACCAAAATGAATTTTCATCACTGTCTTCTGTCACATCAACCTCTATTAAGGAAACTAAATTTTTACACGTTTTATAATTTTTTTTGCAACACCCAACAAGCTTTAAATCAAGAACAAGTTCATTATCATCATATTCAAATCTGAGTTTTGGGGCATCTGCATAAAAGACTTTTGTTAACTCTTCACCCACAACCATCCCCACCAGATTCATCTGATGATTTGCACTGTCAAGGTGACTAGCAATTCCATGAAGCATTTTTTCCATAATTTCATCTCTACAATAGTGAACATCAGTTTCAGTGAAGTGAGCAAGGCAGGCCAACAGGCCTCTAGTAATGTCTTTGTGATACTCAAAGGATGTATGAGCCATAATGCTCTTGTCACACCAAGTACTGAACAATGTTTGAAATGTAGTTCTGAGAACTTGGTGGCTACTTTCTGAGGCTGCTAAATATTCAATAATAACAGGAACTGACATGCTAGAGAGTTGTCTAGTAATGAGAAACTTTTGTGTAAGAAGATAATTAGTCTTTGGACAAACAATGCCAGAATCTCCCACCATTATATACAGCATTTTGTAGTCAATTTCCATACTTAACAAGGTTGCAATGAATCTTTCTTTAGCCATAGGGGGTATATGCTGAAATATTTTGTGTGTGACTCTTACAACTACGGGATTTTTGGAGGAACACTTTTTTACCCAATAGACAAAAGGAGTGAGCAAAGCTTGTGCATCACTAACATAACACATGTGGCCAAAAAGTTTGCCAATGGGTTCAACATTGCCAGGAACATCTTTGCTTAGTCCCTTAGCTATAAAACACACAGCCTGAAGAACTTGATAGGCAATAACTTTGCAATATATTTTTGGTATCAAGGTCTCTGGAATATTGCTATGAAGTTTATTTGCAACCTTTTCTGGCAAGGTGATGAGAAGTCTAACAGTTTCCTCCCATACTACTATGTCCTTTTCCTTCCTCATAAATAGTGAAGCATGTCTCAAAAGACAGAACAAAAATGAATCTGATAAAATTACTCTCTCTAATAAATTTGCTGCAACCTTTGATTTATCCAAGTCTGCCTCATTTATTGTGATTAGTAATGCACTCACACTTTCTTCTAAATAGCAAGCTTGCAAAATTTCATGAAACAATATCTTGCAATCAGAATTTTTCCTCAAAACTCCATTATTCACAAAATTCTTAATCAACATGCCAACATTTATGGCACAGAGGTATTTATAAAATAGCTGTGCATGTTGATTAGGCTGGTCCAAACCTGCATACTGCTGTGGGGTCAACTGTCCAGGAAGCAGATCAATAATGCTCAAAAGAAAAGTTACAATTGAAGAGGGATTGGCATTAGGTTTCTCTAGTTCATCTTCGAGATTTTTCATTAGTGTTTTCTGCCTACTAAGGATTTCCTTCAAGTCCTCAAACTTAACCTCATCTTCTCTGGTTTTAATTTCTCCATCCTGACTCTGATCCATTTTCCGCTCATCTTCTCTCACTTTATCAAGGTTGCTTTCCAGTCTTCTTGGAGCTGAAAATTAAAAAAGCTCTATTTTGGCTAGTAGATTTAAAATTATTAAATTATTCATGCCAGAAATCACAAAGTTCAAAAGAAGAAAAAACTGCAATGCTTAAATATATAATAAATCCCCAATATCTCTCTAATGGAAGAGAGCTAAACTTAAATTTATTTCTAAACTACACAATTTTGAACTAGAGTCAATGAGAGGCAATGGACCATTGCTAAACAAAGGCAGAACTGATAAACAAGACTGCAGCAGGCAGGAAGATCATCATTCCCTCTTCTCTAAACTCTGAACCATTTCCTCATGACAAGAATTTATACTACTCCAATAGTCAAGGCTATGAAACACCCTCTTGTCACAATACTAAATATTCTTTCATTTCAGCTCAAATTTTCCTTCATTTAATCCCTTCTCTGGAAGTCTACATCACCCAAAACTAATCTTTCCTCTGAAGATCCATCTCTCTCCCCTCAACTCTATGACTTGACTGACTTCTTAGGAGCACAAAATATTTCATTCTTAGATCATGATTACTTCATTGCATAACATCTTCACAAGATTCACTCAATGTCATTTAGTTCACTGAGGTCTCCGGATTTAACACCATATGAATACTGCAAAGCTTTCCATTTTTTTCAAGTGAATAAACAAAAATTAATTAATTACTGAAGGCAAAACAACTACACAGATCCCTGAAGCAACGAGAGAGAAATTAGGAGTCCTAGGCAGCCTGCAATATGAAGTGGCTAATGGGGAGTGTGGTGGTACAAATGGATGCTCAAGATTAGCATTCAAAGATATGACCATTTTTCTGCCACAATGCATGGTGTAGTACAATACTTGTTCACTCATAAAATAAATGTTCACAAGTTAGAACACTCATTTAGCACACCAATTTTGCATATTAAGCAATCAAGAATAAATAAAAAAATTATAACAATATTACACAAATATTTCTATAACTCAAGCAAAACTTTGTAGTCTAGGGCTTATATTATGAAGGGATGTCAAGAAAACTTTAGTAAATTGTTAATGAAAGCAGCTAAACTTATTTTAGCTGCTTTGTTTTGTTAAGAGACCTGAACAAATTTTTTGAAAATTAAATCTTAAATTTTGTCACACAGAAAATTCTTTAAAAATTAATTTATCAAGCAAAGTATGTAATTAAAAAACACAGCTGGACAAAGTACAAATAATTTAAATTCAGTGTTATGATGACAGGTGGGTCATGTTTATTTAGCATTGTGTGAGAGCACTTCTGGAAAAATAGCTACAGGATTAATGACTTAATGTTTCATTCTTGGAGTACCACTTTTGTGGGAAATAATACATTAAAAACAATCAACTGCTTGACAAACAGTGTAACTAAAGAAAATTTCAATACTTAGTAAGTTAGAAATTTATTAAAAGGAATAAAAAGAATGAGTTTTACTGCAAATAAAGATACAAATTTAAGTTAGTCCTAGAGAACATTTAGGTGTCCAATGATACTGCCTAACATTAATGTCTGATTAAGATAATTCACCAAGTCACAGCATCATACTAAAATAGAAAGTAATAACATGAGTTTTACATTAAATGATACTGTGTACAATAGTAGGTTTTTATAATATTAAGTAAATGGTTCTTCCTTTACAACTCGGCTAAAGATTACAAAAATGTAAAAATATTTAGAGAATTCTGCATACATGGTTTTGCACATGCTAGTGTATTTGCCAGACGGCTGCGGCAGTATACAAGAGTGCGTCAATACAATTACCAAAACTGAATAAAGGGAAAAAAGTGGAAGTGAAAATATTAAATAAAGATGGAAAGATTACAAAGAATTTTAAATAGATACTACTAAACCTGTCACTGTCTTGACCCCTGCTCATGAACTTGCTCTCAGTGTTGAAGAATTAAAAAACTTATGAATTGACAATCTTTTTCTGATGGTAATGAAACCAAAAGTACGAAACTTGATGGAAAACTTATGGAATTGTGCGAAGATAGAGGTTTCGGCAATATTTACGCAACAGCGATTTCACCCAATTTGAGCCCTATTTTCGGCCATTTCCATTGTTCCAGTAGACAAAACTCAAAGCTATTTCGCTAGAACTCCTTTCGTTCTATCAAGCGAGTACAAGAAACCCCCTTTACTGATTTTAATACCAAAAAATTTTTGAAATTGTAATTTGGCCAATTTTTAAAAAAAATTCAAAGAAAAGGGCCAAATTTTAAAAAGGGCTCAGAATTAACCTGTAACATTCCCACAAACAATAAAATTTTTTCTGTTATTATCCTTTTGAATTTTTATTCACACAAAAAATAGAAGATTTACTGTTATACAGACTGCTGCATTATTGTAAAAATGGAATAAATATATCAGCACATTTGTGAAAGCAATTAAACCCACCATTGAATGTATTTGGCTGGATGTGATTTTTTTACTCTCAAAAATTGGCAAAAAATCTAAATTTTGCACTCTGAGCTCAATTTTTAAGGTCCCTTTTGGTTTGTAAACCCTCAAAAACATCATATTTCTGTATTTTATTTCCCTTCTATCAACGAGACAAAGAAAACAGAATACAACCTAAATACACATGAAAATAAACCGCAAAGTCATTGTTTTAACCCCTTTAAAATGTCCAAACTAGGGTTCATCTGCACGCATAGCGCTCAAAAGTAGAACAACATTTCATTTCTCTTCCTTCAAATTTGGAAAAACAGGTTGAATTCACCTAGACAGAAAGAATGGGGGCTGTACACTCAATGGTGCACTATTAAAAAATTTGGGGGAAAGACTTGTGGGCCCCCCTCAATTGAGCGCCCACCCAAAAACAAATACGTGGCAAACACCGGGAATTTTTTGATGCCATGTCACATTCCATCCCATTTTAAGGGAAAGTAAAAATAGGTGATTCCACGAGTGGGGTGGGTGGGTGAGAGCTGGCTGATTAGCTGTGTACTAGGCCTGGGGTATGCCCTCCTTCCTTCAATGACCTGATTTTGCATGTTTTACTAGGCCTGATGTATTTCTCCTTCCTTCAATGGATGTGGGGGCCTGACTAGGCGGGTATTTGGGCTGAGCCGGGGGGGGGGGGGGGGGGGAAAATGTACCTGCTTTGGGGTGGGGGCCCGTAGGCCTGCTGCAAAGGGTTTCCCTTTTTTAATGTTCTTATGTTTTCGGCAGTGGCCCGGGTGACTTTTCTTTGGCTGTTCTCTTGGGCTGTCTATTTTCTATCTCTCTGTCTATCTCTATTTTCTGTCTGTTTGTCTACTTTTGTCTTGTCTATCTCTGTCTTGTCTATCTCTGTCTCTGGGCTATTTCTGCCTGTGTGTCTCCCTTTGTAACTGTCTCTATCTGTATCTGTCTTCCCCTCTGTTCTTTGTCTGTTTTCTCTGTCTCTCTGGGCTCTCTCTGTCTGTCTCTCTCTGTCGTCTCTCTCTGTCTGTCTCTTCTGTTTTCTCCTGTTGTCTCTCTCTGTCTGTCTCTCTCTGTTTTGTCCTCTCTGTCTGTCTCCCGGTTTTGTCTCTCTTGTCTGTCTCTCTTTTGTTGTCTCTCCCCCTGTCTCTCGCTGTCTCTCGCTGTCCCCCTCGTGTTTTGTCTCTGTCTGTCTCTGTCTGTCTCTGTCTCTCTCTGTCTCTGTCTGTCTCTCTCTCTGTCTCTCTCTCTCTGTCTCTATATATCTGTGTCTATCTCTGTCTCACATCTACACCTAAGTACAATTATACATAGTGTAAATTACCTAGGATAATCCAAAAATTCCAGGCAAAGATAGACAGAGACACAGAAACATGTTTGTATCAGTGAAAACAAATAAAGCCAGGGTTCCCCCCAGCGCCCGTTTATCAAATGTCACCGATCTGATAACAGATGCCATAACACGATTCTTCAAGGAGTGTGATGTACATATACTCAAGGCAGACAAAGACAGATAAGCAGAGGCAGACAGACAGGCAGATAGACCGACAGAAAAATAGACAGAGACAAGAAATGTTTGTGTGTAACAGTGGTAACAAATACCGCGAGGGTTAGCTGGAGCAGTGGGCATTTATCAAATGTCACTGGGCTGTCAGCAGTATAGGGATGCCTTTCATAACATGATGTTTCAAGGTATATGCCAGGGTATCTAAAACATTGCTTCCTTCCTCCTCCTCCTCTTCCTCCCTCCCTCCCTCCCTCCTTCCACCTCCTCCATTGCTTTTGGTCTCAAACTTCTCGAAATCATGAAATTGATCTTCACTGGCACTTCCATCTGTGTTAGAGCATCACTTGGGAAGAGAAGAGTCCCAGATTTGCTGGGGAGTCACATATTTCGTACCGCTAAGCATGCTGAAAAAGGACGACTGAAATGGCATTCCCACAATGCACCACTGGCTCCCTGATTTTTTTATATGCGGGGAGACCTCATCCACTTCACTGGATCAATCTGTTCCACCAGTTGAGGAGAAAGACTTAGCTCCCACTGACTTCCCAAATGAAGTCAAGCGTTTGTTGACTCTGTTGAACAAACGTCGTAAAGCCATTGCCTTACCAGGCAAGAAGATGGGTATAACGAACTTATTGTCCCATCGTATTCCACTTGAACCTGGTACTAGACCTATCTATATACCTGCGTACAGAATGCCTCATTCACAAGTTGCTGTCGCAGAAGAATTGATATCAAATGCTTGATGATGGAGTTATTGCACCTAGCAATTCACCTTGGAATGCGCCCTTGATCCTAGTACCTAAGAAGGATGGTACTTGGCGCCCAGTGATTGACTTTAGGAAGTTAAATGCGAAAACTATTCCAGATCGCTTCCCACTCCCTGTACTGGGTGATCTTTTACGTAACATCGGAGATAAAGTCTTTTCAACCCTGGACTTGTTACAAGGGTTTTGGCAAGTCCCTCTTCACGAGGACAGCCAAGAGCTAACTGCATTCTCCACTCCTACAGGTCATTATCACTTCCTCCGTATGGCGTTTGGATTACGATCCTCCCCTATCACGTTCTCAAGGCTCATGACTAATATCTTTAGAGGTCTCATAGGTAATGCACTTATGGTGTACTTAGATGACGTAATCGTCACGTCTAAAGACGTGGATACACACTTGAAAAGACTTGATGTAGTACTTGGTAAGCTTGAAGAAGCCAATTTAAATATCAAACTGTCTAAATGTCAATTTTTCAGATCAGAAATTAAGTTTCTTGGTCATGTAGTCACTCCTAGAGGGGTTACGACTGACCAAAGTAAAGTAACTGCAGTACTAAATTTTCCAACTCCCAAAACTGCTGATGCCGTAAGATCCTTTGTAGGCTTAGCAGGTTTTTATAGATATTTCATTGCCAATTTTTCTTCCATAGCTGCTCCTCTAACTGAGTTGCTTAAGAAAGATGCTCCTTTCATTTGGACCTTCCGTCAAGAAAGAGCATTCCAAACTCTAAAAGAAAAGCTAACATCTGCTCCAATTTTGAAATTTCCAGATTTTTCTAAGCCCTTCTATCTGACAACTGATGCTAGTTCTATTGGCATAGGTGCCGTACTAGCTCAGAAGACTGATGGCAAGTACAACGCAGTTGCATTTGCTAGCCGAGTCCTTACGAAGACTGAATGTAATTATACAGTAACTGAGCAAGAAGCTTTAGCAATAGTATGGTCTTTAAAGCACTTCCGAGACATTATTTATCAGTACTCTGTTCATGTCTTGACAGACCAGGCTCCACTGATACCTTTATTCCAGAACAAACAGCCTACTGGAAGGTTAGCCAGATGGACCTTGACTATCCAAGAGTTCAATCCCACCTTTGAACACTTATCTGGCAAGTCAAATGTAGTCGCAGATGCCTTATCGCGACATGTTAGTATAGTACAGTGGACCCCCGCATACCGTTGGCATCACATAACGTTAAATCCGCATACCGATACATTTTATCACTAAGATTTTGCCTCGCATACCGCTAAAAAACCCGCTCAACGCTATTCGTCCGAGACGCGTCTATGTGAGGCCTGAGCCAGCCTCACATGTTCCGCCGGTGGCATTATTTACAAGCCAGCCTCCGCGGTAACATCCAAGCATACAATCAGAACATTTCGTATTATTACAGCATTTTTGGTGATTTTATCTGCAAAATAAGTGACCATGGGCCCCAAGAAAGCTTCTGGTGCCAGCCCTGTGGTAAAAAGGGTGAGAAATATTATC